TAAATGTTATTTTTTTTTTAAGATAGAAAAATATTTTTTTATTTTAACCTTATTGTTACTCCTTCTATTCATTCTTAATAGAACTAGTTTGATTTTTTAAATATAAATTTTAAAGGAAAATTTAACAATTTATATAAATAACAATTGAAAATTTTTTCTTTATATAAAGTTTTTGTTGAGTATTTTTATTTAATAAAAAAATTTTCAATTATCATTGATATGTTATATTAAATTTTCAGATAAAATTAATGTTTATAAGGTTAAAAAATCAAACCAAAGGTACGTTTGGAATTGCAATTTAGAGTTTTTTCATATAATCGTATAACGCTTTTAAATATATGTGTGTTTAATAATTTTTTTTAAACTGTTTTTTCTAAAAGCTACAGAAAATTATAGTAAATCTACAGTAATTTTATATATAAAACCAAAAGTCTCATTTTTTAACTTTCTTATTGTAGTTTTTATAAAAACACTTAATATTTAATATAATTATAAAATTACTTATTAAGATCCAATTTCGTATAATTTAATTGTATTATAATTTATAATATTTTAATAATGATAAAAAATTTAAAAAAACCTAAATTATTAAAAAAAGTAAATATTATTTATTTTAATAATTATATATTTTACAATATTTTTAAAATTTTAAGTAATAATTAATAAAATTTATTATATTTCATCCATAATACTTTTAAAAAATAAATAACCAAATACTAAAATAATTTTTAATCACAGTTATAGCACAATACAACATAATTTAGTATAGTCACAGCACTTCACAACAATCCCAAATGCACCTTAAATCTATTAAAAATGAACGAAGGGCTTCTTCTATTCTATCCCATAATAACTATATTTTTTTGACTTTAGGTTGTTCTAAATTAATTATCATTTTTTCCTATTTTAAAATAAATAAATATTTTTTTCCTAGTTAGACACTATCATTATCCATTTATTTTAATTAATTATCCTATTATGAAAATATTACTTTATTTTTTTTAATTTTTTTAATTAAAATAAAATAT